AATATTCTGATAGGACTACTTAAAACCTATTTGCAATTGCGATCGCAGATGACATTTTAAGGAGAGAACCAAGATTCGATGCTCAGAGCATTGCCCAGAATCCTATTGCCATTTTATGCTTGGGGAAAGGAAGCAGCACGAGTCTTCGCAGCAGAGTAATGAGGTGCTGATTATGTAATGAGGTGCTGATTTGCCCACTTGTGCAAACTAGCCTATGTCCAGGAGTAAAACCAGCACCTCACTAATGAGCGGCAATTTGTTGTCAATACCTATGTGATTTCCCTTACCACAAGCATAAAGTGGGAGTAGGATTCTAGACTTTGCCCCTTTTAAAAAGATATCACTCATTGTTAGATCAGCTAGCCCAAGTAATGAAGAAATCAATTTCTACGATTCATTTTACATGGGAAAAGGTTGTGGCTTTTTAGATGGGTGAAATTAATAAGGGGACAAAGATTACAGGAGGAAATTATTATCTGTTGCCAGGATGAGGGTTTTTTTTTTTTAACAATTATTCTCCCTTGTAGTACAAGTATGTGGTAAGGAGCAACACCACTGAGTGCAACTTTTCCTGATTTAAGATTTGAAATAATGAATATGATCCTACAAATGGTGCCCTGGTTAAAACACCCACATTGTAAACTTCATATGCCTGCCTACTCCACACTCGGCCAAAACTTCGCCCCATTTTTCATAGCTTGGGAAATCTCCTTTCGAGTGGCTGAAATAAGCAGTTCATATGTACATCAATAACCCACAACACTTCCGATGAGGCTAGGTATGGGCTTCAAAAATCATGTAATGACTGGCATCTTTTAAAAAGGAACCAGGCAGTGGGCAACAGAATTGTTCAAATGGTAGTAGGAAAGATAAATTATTATGCCCCCTTGCTTTCAACTTTCTTTCATGTATGTATGGCTCAGGGTATGTAGGCACACAGAGAAGTATGCACTATTGCATGGTCTTCCTCACTCAGCACTTTTCTTTCTTTTTCTGTCTCAAAATACTGCTGATTCCAAGATGATCCTTTTCAGCTCCTTTTCTTTCACTTTGTTATTGCAGCTAACCTGAAGTTGGTAGGCACAAAACACTTCTTGATGCTCACACTAGCAGTCAAAAGGTTCTGTACAGATGCTTAAAGTTTTCCTCCCCAACAAATTCTCCACAGTAAGCAAAATCATGGGTGGGAAAACCAGGAAGGGTGAACCGTGAAGAACGGCGCCATGCGAAGCCCTTGTCAAATCCCATCAGTGAGACAGGGCAACGGCATCATAAATGTCCCATCAGGAACAGGTGCTGAAATGACTAGGAAATGAGGAAAAAGCTCCCTTTCCCCCAAGGAGGAATGAAAGAAGTCTGGAGGAAGAAAAAGAGGAATGGTGAAAATCAGAGGCAGGCTAGAGAATTGAAAGAAGGTGTCTAAGAGGGAAAGAAATGAGAATTAAGCTGAGCAGGGGCCAAAGCAGTGAACAAAGGGTGGATCCGTTGGTCATGAAAAAGTAATTAATGTTATTTTGAAGCTACTGCAATAACTTTTCCCATTCAGGAATGGGATTAAGACTTTTGAGCCTTCCCAGACTATTTGTATTTTTAATATAACTGAACATCAGGAATGATGACTAGCAGGTCACACTGAAGAACTGAACACAAAACTGAACACAAAAATGGGTTTGTAGAGTGCTACAGGA